GATCTGGATTTTTGTTGAATATTTTACTCAAGAAGATAACGGTTTTAATTGTATAATAATAAATTTCATTTGGATTCATCTTGTTTGGTTATAAATTTGATATCATGTTTGGTTCAAATAAGTTTTGGAATAAGTTTTGATTTTGGACCACGTTTTTTTTGGGATTTAAGAATACATTCGATGTTGTTTGATACACAATATCGACAAGGTTTATTCAGATCACAATGTTTTTTTTTTTTTGCACAGTTAATACAAGCGTTGGAGATTCTTGTGATTGTCATTTTATAGAGTATGATAAAAAATCAAGGGAATTTATTTAAAAATTGTGTGACGCAATAATGGAGATAACTATAAAAGGTTATTTAATTTTTGTGGTGTATATATATTCAAAGTGTACCAGAAAGATGATAGGTAAGATGCGAATTTATAAGATTGATTGGTATAGTAGTCAACATGATCGACAAGGTAGTCTTCGCAATCAGATCCGTGAATTCGAAAAAGATGGTCAAAGGTATCTTGAAATTAAACTCAATAATAAACGTGACAGTGTTATGCTTTGTAATATGAATGATCATAAAACTGTTATCTTACGAACATGGTATACAAGAACTAAAGGACGTGGGCTTCGTTATTATTGTATGGATAGATTCGGAAAATCATTTCATCGAGTGTTACGTCCTCGATGGGCCATTATAAGTCACTCTAACCATAACACCTTGGATAATCGTCAATTTAATCTGTTTGATGGTTATATTCATTACGGTTCAACCAAAAATTGTTTTGGAACTAATGGTATATATTATGATAAAACAAGAAAGAGGTGGAGAGTTACTTGGCAAGAAGATGGAAAAAATAGATGTAAATATTTTTATGGTTCTAAGAATAATAAGGAGGTTAGGGAACAAGTGATTCGATTTTGAAAGACTATCAATAAACAATGAATTTTGGAAAAAACATACATAAATAATAACAAAGTTGATAATGAGCAAGTTTCAGTTTAGATGGAAAATCGATCGTATAATCAAATTCGTGTTCTAGAAGAAGGAGGTGTGAAATATCTTAAGGTTAAACTTAGTGATAAGCATAATCACATGATGCTCTGTGATATTGAAGATTACAAACTTGTGATCTCTCATAGATGGTATGCAAAAAACAAAGTTAAGAGTAAAGATAGGTGTTATCATTGTATGGATGGAGATTCTGTGGCATTTCATCATTTACTATTTCCTCAATGGGCAGTGATCAGTCACATTAATAAAAACCAATTGGATAATCGACAGTTCAATTTATATAATGGTCGTATTCAAGCAAAGACATATAGCAATAATAAATCTAGTTATAATGGAGTGTACTTTGATCGATCAAAGCAAAGGTGGATAGTTATATGGTACAATAATTGTAAAAGTAAAGTTAGATACTTTCCTGATACCGAGAGTGATGAAGAATCAAAGAATAAAGCAATTTAATTTAGGAAATCAATTGACGCCTAGTGAATTTAAAATACAACGTCCGAAGTTGACGACTTAGAGGAAGATGAAATTTATGATTCGAATGAGGATGCCGACAAAGATTTTAATGATCATGATTACATTAAAGAAGATGATATGGAATTAGAAAAGGGTGACGTTAATATTGGTCATGAAGATTATATCGATCCAAAAGAGGGTTTGAATATCGAATTAGTATCAATGAATACTTCAGAACGCGTGAATAATCAGGAGTATGATATGGAAGAGGTGTTCGATTTTGAGAAGTTTAATGATAATCAATTTAACGAACAAAGTTGGATTGATCAATTTTTAGATATGTAATCTGATAATAAATTTTATAAATAAAGTTATCATTTTGGCAAGAAGAAATGTTATTTTATGATTTTATTGATCAAATAAAAGAAGATGTAAAGATGCGAAAGAGAATTATATAGAATGAGAAAAAAGAGAATTATTCGAATTTTGATTATTATTTTCATCATATTTTGCTTTAAATTGATAGAAAAGAAATATGTTCATTACTATTAAAATGATTACGATTGATAGAATGATAAGAATTTATCATATTTATTTTAGAAGATTTACATGTGATTGATGATTTATTTGGTGATAAATAATATATTTGTATGATAAGATTTGATTGTCGTTTTCTATATTTAGTTTTAAATAACGTTCTACAAGTATAAAATCCCATGTTATTACTTATCTTTGTTTTCAAAAATTATAAAATACGGATATCTGAGCATAACCTCCTCGTGGTATATCTGGATTTTAACCAATGATGCTCAATTTTCTCCTTACTTCGCTTTAAATTTCTTGAGGTAAATACATTTTTTGATTCTATATTTAGTATTCAATAATATGTTTTATAGTGTATTAATAGTATAAATTTAAATCTTAATCTCAGTTTTTGATAAGATACCATGCTATCCTTCGAAGGTAAGTAATCAATATTTCATTTGAAAAATGTTATCATCTGTTGCTAAAGATACTATTTATGAAAAAAAAGTTACAAAGAGACTATGGTATTCTCAAATTAAATGTAAGAGGGTTGGTGGACCTCACAATAATGGTATCGATATCAAAGAAGAATTTTTCAATATTCCTTTCATAATACAATGTAAGAATTGGAAAAGACCTGTGGGTGAGTCATTCACTAAGTTTTATTATAGATATTATGAAATTAAAAGCTCTTTGTGGCCACATTCTTGAAATAAAAAAGTGGGCTTATGTTTTGAAGATTTGAACATTCTCTCGTAATATCTTGATAATGGATTTTATTAGATAATGGAGTCTTGTTCATAGTTCTTGGAAAGACTTACGAGATTGAAAGCACATTATTGACCAAATCCGACAAACACTCGAGGAGTTCATTGGTTTTATTTCTAGATAGTGAATGTTCTTTCATGATATCTTGATGAACTTATTAGTTTTTAAATTTCAGGTCCAAATATAGTTAGAGAAATGGAAGAAACACTATCAAAGTTTTCGAAACAAATGATTGGATTTATAGTTGCACCTTCTTTTATATCCGGTGCGATAGAACAGGCCAAGACATCAAAATTTCATATTATCTTAACTAATAAAAGAAATATAATACCGAATTTAATCAATATTGCAGAAGAAAAGAATGGAAGAATCAAAATTTTATATATGTATTTTATTATATCTTTTGTTTTTGTACAATTGTTAATATTATTTTTTTTTTATAACAAATAAATGATCAGGAGATCGATATCAAAAAAGTCGATAATATTCATTTTATAATACAGGTGAGTAATTATTGAATATTATTTCTTGTTGATAGAGCTCTGCTCATATGCTTGGGAGGGTTGTATAGAGTTGAAAGCGCATTAGGTCATACATATAAAATATGGATATTTAATATATATTTAATATTTTGATGATATGAACGTTCCTTTATATGTCTTGATATGAGAATTATTATTCACAGATTAAATGAATTTTAGGGCCTAGCACTATTCGTGAATTGGAAGGAACTTTATCACAGATGTCAAAGGATACCATCGGATTTGTGGTTATAAACCATGAAAGTTTATTTATCATTTCTGCGATAAGAAGAGTCACAAGATCAAGTTTTAATATTATTTTAACAGATGATTTTAGGGTGTGTAATGATTTGATTAGTATTGTAAAGAAAAGATCTTTATTCATAAAAATTTTAATTTTTATATATTATTTTATGATAATTTTTAATTTTATTTTTAATATGTATCATGTTATGATATTTTTAAAAGAAAATGAATATTTTAATAAAAAATAATTGTATTGTTGATAAATCTATATATTGTATATTATTTACTTTGTCTGTTACTATTATCGATCTTTTTATTAATATTATTTTTGAAATCAATCGCTTCTTCTTTTTTTGTAAAATTTACTTTATGATATTTATCATTTTCCCTCCAAACAAATTACCATTTACAAATAAATTTATCATAACTTACGCCATTAATACCAGAAGTATTGTTTTTGTATAATCTACAGTTTTTTTTTATTTATACTGTTCGATCCATCCCGCAAGTTACATTCTCAATTATCCAATCTATTTTGATTAATATAATCTATACATCTCCATTCAGTGTGTAATAGTCAATGAAATGAATAATTTTCATTATTTTTAGAACAATAAATATAATAATTATTTCCACTTTTTTGTGTACACCATGTATATTTACGAAGAATTTTATAGTTCTTGATATCACAAAACATAATTTTGTCTTGTGTAAGCTTGACTTCAAGATACGCGATACTTTTTTCATCTTGAATGACATAGATTTGATTTCTAATTCCATATTGAGTTTTTTGACCACCAAACCATTCACTTATAGGTTTCATTTTTTAATGGATATAGTAAATATATCGCATACTTATATATAAAATTAAAAGTGAGATAACCTTATATAGTTAACTGTCAAGATGCTCTATATGTCCGTGTTCAAAAAAAATAAACCCTGGCCTGTATCTAACGTGGCGGCCCACGTTAGATCGAGTATTACAGGTCAGGGTAATTTTTGGACTAATTTCTGATTACCATTTTCGGAAGTGGTGTGGTGGTGTATTGATTACGTAAGAAAAAAAACTT